ACTAAAGGCGAAAATCCCCGGTCTACCACCAAATCCCCGACCGGGGATTTAAGGCCTTCGCCCGGGCCCCCTTCTGTTTCTCACGGGTGCCAAAAACGATAAATACCCGGTCGGGTATTTTGCCATCCGACCGGGTATTTTCCTTCTGCAGCCCCCTTAGTCCCAACTCGGCTCCTTTCGACCCAGAACTCGTTTCTCCGCCTCGATTCCAACGCCGGGACCTGAAATATGACACAAACACACAACCTGGCGTAAAATCGGCTTAAAACACGAGATTCCTCAGCACAAACGGCTCCAGAATAGGGGTGAAAATATATATAATTATCGGTCTATCAACAGCTACGAGCTCCTATTTAAAGACGGAGGGAGCTACAACAGCCACAACAACGGAGGAAGCTACAAATAGAAGCAAACAAATCACCAGCACCGAAGCTCCATTTCGATCTCTCTTATTGCTAAACCTGAAACGATAATCAACACTCAATCACCAGGAATCTCGTTGACAACTAGCTCTATTCCTCCTCACCAGCAAACTCAATAAAACAATCACTAACAAGATGGAAAAAAATCATGTGGATGAAGTTTATGTTGGTTCAGTAGATCTGCAACAACTACTATCAATCATAACATCATCAGTCGATGCAACAGAAGGACGACAGCAGTAAAAAAAACTCTATTTCCACCAACAATGACGTTGGTGAAGAAGATAAAGGTATGATCCAAACATATTGCAAGCTTCACTTTACAACCTATGCTTGCATATAGGTATCGAAAGCTGCCGACGACTGTCCACTTGGTCAAGAATCAAAATCTGAAACATATACACAGACAAAAGTTAATATCTACCACCAAGGCATACAAGAAACCTTTTAAAACACGCTACAAAAATACTAAAACACCCCACAATAGGGGAAACCGAAACCAAACCATAAACAATTTGAAGCACACCATATATATCTTTAATCACACCACAAAAGCACAAAAAACCACATCTCTTAATTGATATACTTACGAATAGAAGATGAACATTGCCTAGGTACTTCAAAGGTGATTGCGCAGCTTCTGGCATATTGTCATTGAAATGATCAGCCATGTGCTTACACCAATTGTACTGAGTAAAATCATCAACCATATCATCTTGCAAAAATCCAAGATAACTAAGGTTGGCCTTCTGATTATTGCTGGGATAGAACGACGCCTCCATTGCATACAAAACAAACAGGTCCCTCTAGTTCTTCATGTCCTTCTCCTCTTCCAAACAAATTTGGATGTATGCCAGGGTTGCTTTCCCTTTTCTCGTGTGAGAAAGTCCTAATTTATTCCCCAAGGCATTTCTTTGCGTCATAAAAGTAGACAAATGAACATCATAGGGTCCACGAGGCAACCCATAAACCCTCTCAACATCCTCCTCTCCAATTCTAAACTTCCCTGAGCTAAGTAGAGGAAAACACTTTTACTTAATATCATAACTTGTACGAGCCAAATTAGTAAACTTCTCTGGGATCTTGGTCAGCTTCACTCTAGAAACATCCAAGATGGTCAGACACCCCCAACTTCTCTTTAGTTGTGTTTTTAGCGTTGAGAATGTCAAGAATCCTACTAGCACGGGTCTGGTGCCTCTTCTTGGTGATTCGAGGCATAGAAGAAGGACCAGCATCCTGACCTTCTTAAATATTGGCATTAGTACTATTTTTCCTCTTCCGAGTTGCTGGTGCTGTCTCCTTTGATTTACCCTTCACTGCACGCCGCTTCATGGGTGATATGTCTACAACACAGTTAAAAATACAAATCAATATAATGGATGTATTCCAACAAGTATAATTTATACCACAAACCACTTAATGCAAACCGTAAACTCCATGAAACATATAACAAATCAGCATCAAATCACTCAACAAACAATTGGTTTAAGTAGACTTACACAAATCACAAACACCTTTAGGCAAACCACAAACTTTGTAATCAAAACCATAAACGACTTAAAGTAGTCCATGACACGAGGAAGCACGACCACAAATGACTTAAAGCAAACTATATCACGAGTAATTAGAACCAAAAATGACTTAAAACAAACCATAACACGAGGAATCACAACCACCACCCACAAACACCTTTAGACCATAAACTTTGTCACCTTTACCACAAATGACGTGAAACATACCATAAAACGAGGAATCACAACCACACAAAAACTCATAAACCATGACTATTACGAACAAGAGCACAAGCCTCTGTACGAAACCTAAAAAACACGAGATAGCAAACAACAAAAATTCTCAAGAATACCAGAAACACTTCAGAATATGCTAGAAATTCTAAAACAGACACATAAGTAAAATAACCAGTGCTGTCAAAGCCGAAACGAGCCGGCCGGCCGGACCGCCAAAGCCGCCACCCGGTCGTAAAACCGGCTCGGATTAGCTATTTAACCGCCACGGATTTATACAGCGGCCGGCGAGCGGCCGAAGCGGTTAACCGCTCGAGCCGCTCAAGCCGGTCGCGCGGTTCGGCCATTTGGTTTATCCTAAAAAAAAAAAGGCCAATCGTGTGATGGGGCAGCCAAACAAAACCCTAACTTTCATTTTATTTCTTCATCTTCGACCTAGAAGTAGAACAGACGACAGAGGGAGAGCGGCGCCACCCTGCCGCCATCAACCATCGCCCCAGCGCTTCCGTCCCGCGCCGCAAGCAGCGCGCCATCCGCCAGCGGGGTAATTCATCTCCCTTCTTCTTCTTCACTCTTTCCGTTGGTTCTGAGGATTTCTATGTTAGCATTTCTCCAGTATGGGTATTATTGGGCTGTCGGTGGCGATTGGTTTACTGGGTATTTGATTAGTGGTGGATCTAGTAGTCGTTTGTCTGATCTTGACGTGATTAGCGTAGATTTTGAGATTTGCTGATAGGGGCTGCTAGTTTGCTTACGAAATGGACTACCGGTTCTCAAACGGTTTTTAAACGGTCTAATGCCGGCTGGACCACTAATGACCGAGCAGTTCACATTACCGGGTCATACTCCGGCTCGGCTTTGACAGCATTGAAAATAACTAGAAAGCACGCCACAAGCATGCTAAAGCAAACAACAAACTCTAAACAAAACACACACGAAAACAAATTTTTCTCTTCTTCTACAACAAATGAGCACAACAGGAACAATGCATGCCAGAAAAATCAAGGACGAAAACAACAAAATGCATACCTAAAAACTAGGTTTAAAGTGAACGAAATCGTGAGGCCACGATGCAAGGAGCAGACGGAACCTTGCGGAGGAAATCGAGCACCGACAATGAAAGAAACAAAATCGGGCGAAGGAACAATGACGACGACGATGGAGATGGAAAATCCAAAATTTTAACTACCGACGGAGAAGACGGTTCACGTAGAGTGTCGGGAGTAGACAAAACCGCACTGATGAAATCAATAGCCGACAATGAAAGAAATAAAATATGGCAGAGGAACAACGACGACGACAGAGTTGGAAAATAAGCAATTTCAACTACAAACGGACGAGACGGTTCACGCATAGCAAAGTCGCGAAGAAAAGGAAAGTGAAAACTTAAATTACGGTGTGCAAAATCATGCACGATTTTCTTAATTTAAATACTAGCTTAATACCTGGCCAGTTGGGCGGAGAAAATTAAAACACGCTCAAGCATGTTACTATAATTTAACATATGCTAAAATGTAATTGGTTGAGATGTATATACTAAAGTTGGAGTGACATTTTCATTGTGAATAACATAGTAATAACTTGGATAGATAACAAAGGTTACTAATCATCTATGAAATTGGCATGAAAGGCTTAAAAATATTAAAGTTAGACTTAACGAAACCATAGAATACAAAGTTAGTGTAGGATGGACAATAATGACGCTTCTAATACATATAAGTTCTAAATTGACACTAAAATAAATACCTTATAAAACACCAAAGAGAGGTTCAACAAATTTTGGCTAAAAGTAATTCAAATGTTTGTACCAAAAGCTGGTTATATTGGAATCTTGAAATAAACACACATATATATAAACTTAAAATCATCAATAAACTACTAAATCCAAATGACTAAGAAGTCTATTCATGATCACTAATCTTCCTTTTACCGCACGCTCATCAAAAGATTTCTCGCCTACGTGATCCAATACAACAAAACATGCTGCACAGGATGGGTCTAGCACTGAGGGGTCAAACAGAACATGTAAGTGATGGATATTGTTAGTCACATTCTATTCGATGAGTAGTTATGTTAGTGAAAGCTTAATCAATAATATCGTAAATGACATGAAGTCTTTGAAGTAGTTTCATAGATATAGGGAACACAAACCTTTTCACTGCTTCTGTTGATATTACATTACACTTCTCACAGTATAAAATATCCAAGACAAAGAGATTAGGCTTAAAAGTATTATCAACTATACCAACTTACCTAGCAATCTCACAGTATAAAGTTCAATGGTTAATAATTTTATGTCGATAATGATTAGAATGAAAACTAAACCAACTTACCTAGCAAAACCATTCTATTGTTAACATTCTTCTTTTTTTTTTTTTGTCAAAATTGCTAACATACGAGAATGTTAGATAAATCTAAAGAAGTGGTGAGGAATTAAATATGTATCATCTGTTGGTTGAATGGTTGTGCTTGGTTGAAACTCGATGTAGAGGGGATTGCCAATAGGGCGATATTTTATGTTTCTAAGTAACTTACTGATTTTGAACTTCACAACGATATAGGGGGTTGTTTGGATTAGAGATTTGGATGCAAGATTTTGTCCAAATCTCTCATTCTACAGGATTTTAACAAATTTATTTGTTTGGATAAATCAAGAATTGTGGGCATGAGAAATTTTAAAAACTCTAATATGCAGATTTTTAAAATAGATGATAGGGACCAGTTATTTTAAAATCCCACATTGTTATATTTTTTATTCCCATTCTGTCCCTTCCAATTTTATTAAATTCCAAACCTACCACTCTAATTGACATCAGACCTCACCTCCTTCTCTCTATCGTCTCACTCTTCTCCCCCAAATCCCAAATCGACGACAACTCCACCCTCAAACCTCCGACTTCCTCCTCCTCCAACCTCCTTCTCTATCGTTCCCGTAGGGGTTTTTTTCCTTTTTTCTTCACTCTGTTCCCCGTCCCAGTTCACCCGCTCTGCACCCGCTCACGATTCCCGCCGGCGAAGAATGAGTCTGGGTATGATAGAAGACTGCCGGGAGAGATCGAGCCGGCGGCGATCCCTCGATTACCGACCCGGAGACGAAACTAGCGGCGAGATCCCTCTGTGCGGCTGCGGACACGAACGGATTTGCGGAAACCCCAAATCTGGGTTTGGGTTCTCAGATTCCCCAGATCTGGTACGTCGATTGCAATCAGAAAGCTCCAATCTCCGTCGATCTCTCCCTTCTCAATGATTCTGGGTTCTGCGTTAGGGTAATCGGCGGCCGGCTATGGATGATTTTAGGTTAGAATAATGAGAAACGATGCATAGATGAAGACGAAGGGCTACTCTGAGATTTGGCTCAGATGTGGGTTTTTAATTGAAAACCTGCATCTATAAACAAACGGGTAATTTGACATAAATCCTGCAAACAAATTAGCTGGGTTTTTAAACTGAGAGATTTAGAATCAAATCTATCATAAATCACTAGTTTTAAAATCCCCCATCCAAACGACCCCTAGATGGTTTATTCTTCAATCTTTGGATCAAATCTATTGATCAAGTTCTGAGGGACTTGAAGCCAAATCACATACCCTGTTACAACGTCGCAAACTAACATAAGAAAGTTTGCATTTAGAAATCACTGGGTATTAGCTTTGAATAGGTAACCATACATTTTTATGTAGCATCAACATATCCATACCGATCACAATATCAGTATTCGACTTGACAACTATCAATTTTTTTGAAACTCGACATCAAACAACCCAACCCGTTTGCTTTCGTGGTGAACTGAACAATCGCAACACTTTGATCCATTGTTGCGGGTGACTTCTACATCGATAGAGGGAAGATTGGACTAATCTACATTTTTAAAGAATTGGGTAATATGGGGTTTAAAAGATCATTAATTCACCGTTGGAAGTGACGACAAGAGGTTGTACGACAGAGTTGGGTACATGGAGTCAAGGTTGTCAAACCGATTTATCCTATTGTGGCGATTTAGCAAGTGCAATGGTTCGAATGATGGTACATCTGATTTGTGTCGGTTCAAGCCAGTTTAACAAAATATGTAAAATTATGGAAAACCATGAACATCAAAGGAATTAATAATATATTAAACATATTTAAAGACAATTTGCTTACATTTAATAGTCATGTGTAAATAAAATATGAAATTCCAAATAAAATGATAAAGACTTATATTTGAATAAATTTTACGTCAATACCTAAATGTTTATATTTGAATCCAAAAAATAAAATAAATATTTAACTTTTATGTTCATGAAATAAATAATACATTAAGTAATAAATTCGCTAAAACGTTGTCATTTTACTTAGAGATTGTAAATTGATCATGTCGATCATATCGTTGGTGTTTACGCCGGTTGCTTGACCGACACAATTTAAACCAGGTTCAACATGCCGACATTCTACCAACATGAAAACTATGCATGGAATAAACAGTCCCGTGCTTCCCATCAACTATCACGAACCAGGTGAAGAAAGAGTTGATAGAAGTCACATGATCTTTGAATGAAATGAAAGAACACCCCATGTTCTTGGTCGGCGGTGAGGTTGTATGCGAGAGATTCGACAAGCTGGCTTCTGGGAAGAAAATGGATAAATCTGTTTTGGAGTGGGACTTGGTCGCCAAGTGTTCAGATATATAAAATTGGGCTAATATATTAGTTTTATGTTTCTTCACCTTATAATATACGTGCCAAGCAGTGTTGTCAAAGCCGAGCCGGCCGGCCGAGCCGCCAAAACCGCCACCCGGCTATAAAACCGGCTTGACTAAGCTATTTAGCCGAAGTGGTTATTTTGGGCGGTCGGCGAGCGGCCGAAGCGGTTAACCGCTCGAGCCGCTCGTCCGGCTTTTAAAATTTGGGCCGATTGCTTTAATTAAAAAAAATAAGGAAAAACAAAAACTAAAATATCAAAAATGAAAGGGGAGGCTGCTGTGCTGAAACATAAACCCTAATTTATTTCTTTCCTCTTTGCGCAGACAGCCAGACACGAAGAAGCAGCTTCCTCTTCGCGCAGTCGCCGTTCCCCGTCGCGGTTCCCCTTCGCTATTCGCAATCGCTCGACAACACTCCCCTATCGCCCGTCGCCTGTCGCCATCGTCGTCGATGGCGGCGGCGGCTCGTTCCCCGCTCCTGCCGGCGAGCGCAACGACCGGCCGGTGAGGTCTCCCTTCTCCCTTCTCTGGTCACGGCAAAGCGGTTTTCTTTTTGGGATTGTGTTCCCAGGTTCTGTTATGGTTGGAAAAGATTCCAACTTTTTTCCCCTTCCCATTTTCTTCCGTGTCCTGAAGTTCATCATGATTGCTTTGATACTTAATGAAAGAAGCTGATTCTTACTGTTTCTCTGTTTTTTTGGGGTCCGGATAGTATAACAACACTTTTTTTGTTGTTATAATAACAATAGGATTCATTAAGGGTAGAAGGGTAAATTAACAATAACAATGATAAATAAAAATTAATCCTACGCATTTTCTCCTTCGCTCTGAACCACAGGCGCTGGATCTCGTTTTTTCTTCTCCCTTGCCGGCCCTAAAAAATCAAAACCTTCACCGGAGTTCCAACCTCGAGTACACCGTGCTGGATGTGATGGGCTCCGACATCGACGGAGACCAGCTCACCCGTTTGGCAGAGGACCTCTGCTACTCCCGCCTCATCGTCAACTCCGACGGTTTCTGCTTCATCGACACCGCAGGGATCATTGATTCGTCCGCCGGGTTCGAGTTCTACCGCCTCAAGGACATATTCAGCTGGTCCGATTACGGAGTCGATCGACAATCGGAAATGGGCGGTGACTCGGCCGCGCCTTCGCTCCCCTGGAAGCTGGAACCGATGCAACATGAGAACAGGGGAGGAGCTAGCGCCGGATCAGCAGGGCGACGGGAAGAGCTTGGAGGAGCTTGGGAAGTGAGGTAGAGCTGATAACCAAAAAGAAAAGGAAAAGTAGTAGAAAAAAAGAGGAAGACGACAAGAGGAAGACGAAGAGGAAAGCGCAGCGAAGGTGAGGGAAAGAGGTGGAGAAGAGTGCGTTTTTTGTTCTTGGCTTCTGTATGACTATTTAGCTAGTTGAAGGCATTGCTCTCATTTATTGCATTCCAGTTTCTGATCCTATACTCAACTTTTGGCTTATGTATGACTGTCCAGGGTTTGCTCAGTCAAAACTAATACGAAACACGATTCTGTGAGAAGTTACATAATACCAACTCATACATGTGGTAAATGTTAATCAAACTCTAATAATAACAGCAAATTAGCTCCCTTCCCTTTCCAGAACAGTTCACCCAGCAGCAAGTGTAATTACACAGAACTGGGGTATAATACAGATAGAACTGGTACGGCAAAAAGTGAAAGCGCAAGGTCAGCTTGTTAAGTTTGAAAAACATGGCTTTGCTCCTTGTCTGCAATTTGTATAGATCCACAAACACGGTAAAGCAAACCAAAAACGTCATAATTCAGACCACAAATATATTAAAACAAACCAGAAACCTCGCAAAGCAAACCACAAAAGTTTCGAAAGCACACCAAAAACTTCTTAATGCAAACCAGAAACCTCCGAATGCATACCACAAATCTCCTAAAACAAACCAGAAACCCCACAATGCAAACCACAACGTTTGCGAAAGCACACCAGAAACCTCCTAATGCAAACCACAAATACAGTAAACCAAACCACAAAAAAACAAACCATAAACGTCCCATTGCAGACCACAAATATATTAAAACAAACCAGAAACCTCATAATGCAAACCACAAAGTTTTGGAAAGCAAACCAGAAACTTCTCAATGCAAACCACAAACACGATAAAACAAACCAGAAACTTCTCAATGCAAACCACAAATGCGATAAAGCAAACCACAAAAGGCATACAAAAATGTGAGAAACCAAACCATAAATCTCACAATGCAGACCATAACATCCGGTGGTCGTTGGCCGTTGACCGGTCAACGAAGTTCATTGACCGAACTCCGGTGACCGTCAGTCAGCATATTCCGACGCCGATAGGCATATTCCGGCCCCGATGACTAGATTCCGACGCCGGTAAGCATATTCCGACCACGGTGAGCATATTCCGGCGACTGTGGCATATTCCGATGACAAAAAAGCATATTCCGGTGACCGGCGACCGGATTCCGGCGACCGATGGCTGAATTCCGGCGACCAAAATTTTGGGCCGAAAATAAAAAAAAATTATTTTTTTTATTTTTATTATTTAAACAGATTTTTCATAATGACAATTATACCCCTGCTTTGATTTTACACTAGGTCAACTCATCTAATAAAAAGTCATCACAACCCTAGCTTCCTATCGGTTGGAGACTAGTGTTGTTACAATAACAACACAAGGGGTGTTGTTATAGTATCTAGACCCGTTTTTTTGGTCAATTATGTAGATTGTGAGGAGGAGGCTCGACGGGGGTGGAGCTCAAGCACTGGCGATCGACGTACCACGGCTGCCTCTCCCCTGCATCGACCCTCTGCCTCTCCCCTGCATCGACCCTCTGCCTCTCCCCTGCAGTCACCTTCTCCCATTGCTGCCTCTCCCCTGCATAGACCCTCTGCCTCTCCCCTGCAACGACCACTGCTGCCCTCCCCTTCAATTTCTCGACACATACACCAGGAGAACTTCTTGTGGTAAATTTACATGTGCTTTGACCTTAATTTCGGATAAGCATAAAAGTTTGTAATGGTTTGTTTGTGTCTACTATTTATACATATGACTATTTATTAGGTATCGGTTCTCAAACGGTTTTTAAACGGTCTAATGCCGGCTGGACCACTAAAGACCGAGCCGTTCACGTTACCGGGTCATCCTCCGGTTCGGTTCTGACAACATTGGTGCCAAGTTTAAATAAATGTGTATTTGCTTGACATTCCACAAAATACGAGCCCAGAGTAAGCAGCCGAGAGGCAATTAAGGGGCATAATTAGTGTCATGTAAAATGACCATATTAAGACTCCGAAAATTGTTGTATGAGCTACAAATTTGAAATCCTTAAAAACTGCCCCCAACTCCACCATTATATATTTGTGGAGTCATTTTAAATTGTATCAAATTACTTTGTTCACTTCATATTAAGTTATTAACAACACTAATGTCTTATTCACTTCATATTTTGTTTTCTGTTTTCTATAATGACAATAAAAATCAGAAAACAAATAGCAAAGAACATGTTCACTTATAATTTTGTTTTCATTGGAAAAAATCATGGGCAATACTAAGAGTGAGATAGATGGACGGAAACGATAAAATCGTTTCCAGGAAACTTAGGGACGTGTTTTCCCCCATTTCCCAACGAAAAATGGTAATAAACTTATGGACGTGTTCGAATGCGTGCTACACCAAATTTTTCTCTCTTTTGTTGTGCTACACCCAAACACAGTTCATTGTGTCGTTTTGCCTGATGGAAGCCTGCACCCTAGCAAAGAAACCCTCTCCTAAGCGATTTTCATCCTTCCTCCGAATGCCAAGCTTCAGTCGGTCAAGTTTCTTCCTCTTCTCGTTGCCGAACGCGAAGAAGACCCAACCGAGCTTCTTCCACTTTCCGCCGTCGAACGCGAAGAAGACCCAAGCTTCTTCCTCTTCCCAATCTTTATCCCTCTTCTCCAAGAAAAGTCGGGGAAGAGAAGATCGAACTAATGACTCCTCGTCCTCCTTCCGTCGGCAAAATCAATATTCGGCCAAGAGAATGTTCTATTGTTGTTACTTGCTTTAAGGTAGAAACCGAAACAGCTAATGGATTCCACTTCTCAGTATGCCAACGACAGACATTGACATAGCTAATCGATACGATTCAACCAAAGACAGAGGGGTACTTGAAAATTGATGTAGCTAATCCATTCGATTGAATTTGGATATGGAAGTTGGTGATGGTTCTTCCTAACTTATAATTACTTGTTTGTTTGGAGGATCCGATGTATTTTTTATTGGAGAATATGATGTATATTTCCCCTTGTTTGTTCTCTATCTGTTGGAGTGATGGTGGTCTCTTATAAGCAATGGAGAATAATGATGTCGAAAACAATATCAATTGTGCGGTATTCGAGGGAACCGAGGTATGGCCTGAAACAAAACGAGGTATATGCATTCTTGTATCTGTATTGTTTATTAGTAGTTTAAAAATTATGTGATTCAGATTAAAAATTATAGCTAGGATTGTATGATATTCAATTGACAAATTGTGGTAATCAAGTACCAGAAAACAGTATGAAGTAAATAAACAAGTTTTCGTTTTCAGAATTCAGCTTTAGAACTCATCACATTCTCCGCTAAACAAGTTTTTTTTCCAGATTTTGTTTTTAGGAAACGACAACTTTGTTTTCAATTTAATTTGTTTTCTGTTGCGGCAGCTATAGAAGACGGAATGGTAACTAAATGACCCATAAGGGTGTTCTTATTCTGTCCAGAGCCTTTCGATTGGTAGCCAGAAAAAGGAAAACTGCATTTGCGACAATAATAGCCACTTTTCGGAAAATGCACAAAATAACAAGAATTTTGAAAGGTTGATGATAACTATAGCTATTTTCATTATGAAATTTAACAACGTCAGTGACACTGTTTGTTATTTTAACGGTACGATTACTGGGATGCCAACTCATTAGACACATCATCGACAACTCGTCTCCGACGACAGGTGGATGACACGTCATTTTAAATTAATTTTTTTAAAGGGTACTTCATCTGTCCTCGCTTCCCCATTTCATTTTAGGGTTCGGACTAGGGGTGGCTATTTGGTCTGGCCTTTTTGTTTTTACCCAAAACCAGACCATATAACCCGGATCGAAATCAGATCGGGACCGGATAACAAACAATCAAATCCCATTTTCGGGCTTAGATTTGAGGTAAAAAACCGTTCGAGATCTGACCAAAAACCGGACAAGAGAAGCCAACACCCAAAACTTAACCAACTCCTCACTCTTTGAGGCCTCACGCCACTCAAATTCCCACAAGCTCAATCTAAAATCAAGACCGAATTGGGACCAGACCGCATCAAGACCGGACTGTATCCAATCCAATCTTTGGTCCTTATATTCCCGAAAAGACCGGACCGGGACCAGATCAATCTGAGTCAATTTAATTGGACCGTACCGTATAGGGTGTCAATCGGGCGGGTTCGGGCTGGGTTCAATCGGGTTCAGGTTCAAACGGGTTGCGGGTTATTCGGGTTGCGGGTTCATCGGGTTCGGGTTCATCGGGTTCGGGTTCAAACGGGTTGCGGGTTAGTCGGGTTGCGGGTTCATCGGGTTCGGGTTCAATCGGGTTGCGGGCAAATCGGGTTGCGGGTTCATCGGGTTTTGGGTCGGGCGGGTTGCGGGCGGATCGGGTTGCGGGCGGATCGGGTTTCGGGTTGTTCGGGTCAGCGCATCAAGTAACTTAACTCATTACTCATTACCAACTTACACATTTTATTACACTAATTTAAAATATTTTCTCAACTTTTTAACCAATTTATTTCTACCTCGTATATATATACTTAATTTTTTGAAAAAAAACTAGTCAAAATGTTAAATCAATTTGTATGACTTGCAAACTTGTTATGTAATTAATCATAATTTGTAAAGTATTATAGCTAATAGTAATGGTGATATCAATATTTGCAACCAAAAGACAACATTAATTGTTTATTTGATATTTTAGTATTAATTCAGTAGTAATTGGATTAAAGTATCTCGTTTAGTATAACCATACAAATCTTGTATTTGGCAAAAGCATAGTGATAAAAGGAGTTATTTCGAAATAACTCATTGCCCAAATAACTTCAGTAAACTGTTGCCAAACGAGTTATTTGTAAAATTGTTCGAATTATCCTAAAAATTGAACCATTAAAGATTAGCTATCAAATTTAGTAAAATTATTGTGACTTCAATAATAACTTACTCAATAGCATATATCCTATACTCTCCAAAAAAAAGCATATATCCTATACACTTAGCCTTACCCTCAATCAACAATATTAAGTTAGTATATGTTGTTGATTGTATATCATAAACCATCAATACATTATACACTAACCACATAACCTATACCCTATACCCTAACCATATGTCTTTGAGTTGTGATTTTGCTAGTATAGTTAATTTAAAAGTGAAATTCATACTTTGATTTTCAAAACATAGATAAAAAGTGATATTTGCTAATTGTTATACCCTAACCATATATTCTATACTTTACACCACATACCTTGTACCCTAACCACGTACCATAAACATAAATTAGAAAGGGATCTCCTGCCGTTAAAGACTTCAAATGACTTCAAGTGAACATATGTTAATAAAAAACTTAGAACCGTCAAAACCATCAATATCTTATACCATAACCATATACACCCTAAACCATATGTACCTTATACCCTATACCCTAACCATATACTTTATATCCTAAACAACGAACCGTCAAAGATTACTTATCAAGTTTAGTATAAATTGTTGTAACTAATGGTTAATTTATTTATTAGCCCATAAACAATTACATACACACATATATATATTAGCCTTCAAAGCATATAAGAATAATTTTAACTAGTCATGCCCTCCATATAAAAGTTAAAGATTCATATTTCAAAAGCTAAAATCATGAAAACCAAAAAATTGAAAACACCAAATTTGTTTCCTTCTTTCTTTTCACAAAAATACTAAAATTTCCCTTCTTCTTTCTAATTCCATACATTAGAAAACTCAATTTTCCCTCCTCTTTCTCTTCCATAAAATTGAAAGAACCAAATTACCCTCTTCTTTCCTTCTACAAAAAGTTGAAAACTCAAAAGTTTCCCTCATTATTTCTCTTTCATAATCAAAAGAACCAAACTTTCTCACTTCTTTCTCTTCCCACATATCAAAATCACCAAAATTCCCACTTGTTTCTTTTCTAAAAAATTCAAAAAACCAAATTTTCCTCTTCTTTCTCTTCCCAAAAACTTGAATACACCAAAATTTCCCCCTTCATTTAAAAACATCAAATTACCAAATACATTACTTTACTTTATTTATATTTAATAGATAATTTTATTGAATATTTAAATTAAACAAATTTTAATTTATATATTATATTAATATTGTCATGATCTCAAGTTACCTTCATGTTTCAATTTTTGTAATTTTCTTAAAATACGTAATATCAAGTGAGTTTCATATTTTTTAAATTTCCTATAAGAAATGAAAAAATAATTTTACTTAAGTTTAGAATGAAAAACTTTATTTTGAAAAACTATGTATTGTATATTTTTATAATTATTCAAGTGGATTAGATGAAATTCAGGTTGAGTCAGTCGGGTTACGGGTTAGTCAGGTTCGGGTCAATCAAGTTCGGGTTAATCGGGTTCGGGTCAGTCGGGTTGTGACACCTATACGTATAGCCACCCTTAGTTTGGACAAATCTCCTGTTACTGTCCGATGCTCCAGTGACAACATACGCAGCTTTCCAGTTCGTAGACAAGGAGTTTCGATTCCTCACCAATATTTTAGGGCCACGAAACATCAGCAAGGAGGAGCTTCGATGGAGAGGCCGAGGTCATGGCAGAGAACCAAGGGGAGCTTGATCTTGACGTTCCGCACCACCTGCCATCACCAAAATCACTAACCTAATAAACACAAGACCCAACAAGAGCTTGTTTCCCTAAATCTTCCCCATTCAAGCTTTTCAACAACCCAATAAACACAAGACACCAAACCCAAAACCCATTTGAGGCGGCCATTATGATACCATCCCCTGCTCCTTCTCCGATTGAAATTCATATGAAAAAGCTACTCAAAACCCCCAAAATATAAGATATAAAATCCCAAGCTGTTAATGGTGGTCGAGAAAATACCATCCCATCTACGGAAGCCACAAAAACTCAACTGAGTGGGTCGACGATCGTCACCATCGATTCTGTTAGCGTCATCGCACAAAGTCTTCCACCATCATTCCTCAAAATCGTCACGCAAAATGAGGGCTCTCGATTTTTCCAGATCCGCAATTTGGACAGAGGTTATGGGTAAGTCGTTCTTTGTTCATTGTTCTACTTCTGGGTTCATCTGCAGCTGCTCCATGTGCGACCAGTCGACTACTGGTCTCCTCGTCATCAGCTTCTTCTTCACAAACCTAGTGTTTCACGAAGTGAGCGATTACGCAGAGATCTGCGAAGTGAGCGATGAGGAATTTCACCGACATCAGAGGGAAGGGAGGAGGATTGCATCGATGTTAGGTGAAAATTTCCCGATCTGAAGATACTTACGACTGTGTTGTTGATTCCTGGGTTTGGCGACGCCGGAGTGGCAGGAGGAGAATGCCGGTAGGAGGAGGATCTCGTCGCCCATAGTAGGGTGACAAGTGGTTTCGAGGACGGTTTGCCCGTGAGGGGAAAACAAAGATCGAATCGTATTTAGGCTAACTACAATAGAGCCTTTACAAATGGAGAGCTTCTATATTTGGGGGAAAGTTGGCTCCAATGGAGACTCTAAATGGAGAAGTCTCTATATTTAGGAAGATCTCCAAAAGGATTCCCAAATTTGGGGTGGAAATGAGGGTTCTCCAAATATAGAGACTCCTCAAAGCCCGCCACGTGGCGTTTCTTTTTCTTTTTAAGATTTTAAGGGTTAATTGGGGTTTAATTAAGGGATTAGTTAGGGGTTTAATTAGATCAATAATTTTCAAGTGTTGTGTGTAAACCCAAATTAGGTCAATCATTTTTTGTCAACAAAAATTTGGTCTCAAAATTAAAAAAAATTCTACCGGAAAATTTGTATTTAAAAATGATGACGAACTAAAATTAACATGAACAAATTATATTAAGGCTTCGATAAGTACATTTTTAAGTAAATGAAAAACTTAAAAAATGGAGATCTCCAAATATAGAGGATGTAGCATTGGAGCAAAATAAGAGAAAATGGGGATGCACCCCAAATTTGGGGATGAAGATCCCCAAATTTGAGAGCTTGCATTGGAGTTGGTCTTAGGGAAAAGTTGGGGTTAGGCCCTTTGATGATCGTGCTTTTTGTTTTTATTTTTTTATTAATTTTTTCATTAATCTATGTCGTACTGTTGTTTAGAAAATGTCACCAAGTCAGCAACACCGTTAGTCTAGTCAGCCAGTTACTTGAAACCATCAAAGAATTGAATGGAACTGACTATTTTGTGTATACTATTACCACAAAAGTGACTATTATTGACAAAATCATTAGAGTTATGGCCATAGTTAGCAGTGGCGGAACCACTCAGAGAGTTGGGGGGTGCGTGCAGCCCCTTGGAGAAAACAATTGCAAGATAATTGAGTCTTACCTGTTAATCTCATACCACCCATCTGACCATCTAAACTGGAGACGTTTTGTGTTGTACCAATTACCACTTACACTTTTATTTAAACTATTATTTAAATCCTCAAAACTCAATTGCCACTTATTGTCATTTATGACTTGTTTAAATCCACAAAAACTCAATTGCAAAAGGAGAAACTGATGGAGTTTGTCAGAGACTAAATTCTTTTCAAGTAGTTTTAGCACTCAAGTCGCGTTAGAGAACTAAGTCAGCTTTCACTCACACTCGCTCGACTCAGAATAACGAAGAGAACTCTCGTTAGAGTTGTATTACCCAACACTTGGATGATTTATGAATGGATTCACAAGTGAGGTGAAGCACTCCTTAGATAGCCTCCGTCTTCTCAAATGGACGCCTACGATATTCATTAAATCCTACCGTCACAATAACTAAATGAAAGATGCATTAGTGACATATATTGAACAAGAACTGTGTGCTACTTTGTACAGGAAATGTATTTTATAATGCTTTTAATAATATGAAACCTCTCGGTTCGTTTGTAAGTGACATGCGTTGGACTATTATTGCGAATCTTTAGTATTATTTTGATGACATTTTATTTCATTTAGAATTTATTTTCTATTATGCATTTGATTTTTTGTGGTATGGAAAAAACACCCTCTTGACCAATATTCTGGTTCCGCCACTAATAGTTAGTAAATACTCCGTTTAATACACGTATATGTATTCGTACTTATTTTATCCATTTAAAACTTTCATATCCGTATGTCAACCCGTTTCATTTTTTGTCATTTGAATGTCGTACTAAATACGTATAAAACTCATATAAGACGTTTAATATAATTATTTAATGAATTAAATTATTAATTTTATTATTATTTATATATTTATTTTTAAAATAATTAATTTTTTATTTTCATAACTATTAACGTACCATTAAACATAACATTACCTTAGAGACGAACCCGTACGTATTTTATACATAACTTTCCTCTCCCGTGTTTTATTACTTAGGGTAATGTCTATTTTTTATCCAAACCTTTTTGAGATTCTTTTATATTATCCAAACCTATTAATATTCTATTAATTAGCCAAATATTTCATTATTCATCAAAATATTAACCATTTTTACGTTATCGTTAATAATTTTGTAACTCTTTCCTTAGTTAAATTACTAAAATTTTGAAATCTTGACCTTCATATGTCTCTTCCAAGTCAATTTTATGTTGCAAAGTCAATATTACTAATAAAATTGCGTACTCGAAGTTAATATTTGGCCAATTCTTAGTATTTCAATATATTTAAATAATATAAAAGAATCTGAAAAATGTTTACAAAATGTATTACCGGAAGAATGATTTGTTCTTCGAAGAGTATTAGCTGCCGACTCTCTTCTATTCTTCTCTGAAGCGAGCGTCATTCGCTTCCCGGGTTTCTCGTTCCGGTAATTCCTAGGGATTCTTCAGTTGGGTTGCTACTTCCGGCTCATCAATAATCGAACATTGCTCTGTCCTCACTAGTTAAGTCGCCGACAATCGATCTCTAGAGAAAATCTCTCCGGAGTTGAAGCAGCATCGGCAAGATTAGAGCTAGATCTCTGGAGCTTTTTTGACACAAGAAGAGAGGAAAAGGTTGAGAGCGATTAGGAAAAAGTGGGGAAGAAGAAACATTGAGGTCGATTACTAAGGAGGTATCAGCGGCAGGTTTTGCGATCGGCGAAGGATCATACATCTGGCCAGATGGGTTTGGGATTTACAGTCGGCGTTATTGGAGTTCTGATTCTGGGCCACGCCGCCTATTCAACTATTCAGTGTAAACCTATTATCCTTTTGAGAAGCTTTAATTGTCCCAAAGCTGTTGAGATTTGTCGATTAGCTTTGTGGATTTGATTGAATTCTCCCTTTGGGTTTGATGCAGATAGGAGCCTGCTGAAGATTACGGAGGAGGAGTTCTCCGGACCTCCGATGGAGGTGAGTTTTCTTTGCCTTCTGATTGCTTCTCTTCTTCTTGCTAACTACAAAATCGTTAGCTTGAGGGGAGCTTGGAACTGAATGACGTGTTGGATCGATGCAGGTGGTGCTGGAGTTGCTTGTAGGGCTATTGTTCTGTATGTGGGCAGCTTTAACTGTGCCGGGCAAGTTCCTGTCTGTACATCCCCATTCCGACGAGAATAGGTATGTCAGTTTGTGTGTGCGACTTAGATATTCTCAGATTTACTGCGTAGTCGATTTTACAGGCAATACATATGTTACGTTGGTTCGGTTAACTGTATCTTGTTTGCTATGCATTTGATTGAGAAGGTTTACCATATATGGTTGTTCTTGGTTTTGGGTGCTAGATGTGCAATGGAAAACTCAAAGATCTATTAGTAGTCCGCTTTCACGTTTCTAGGTGGCTGCAATTTGATCATGCTCTGTGCTTCATCTATCAGGGCTCTGTAACTGATTGGCAGCGTGTTATAAGTGACTGTCAACTATTGTTCTCTGGTTTTCCTAGATTTACTATGAAAAGTCAACAATCTCTAGCTTTCCAGTGATGGAACGATAACGGTTCTCAGTGGCTATGGCTACAATTATAAATGTGATCGTGTTTTCTATTTCTGGGTAATCTGTTAGGGCTCTATCATTGATGCTCATGCATATAAATTATTCATATAGTTTGATTGGTGGTGGACTCACACCCTGTAAGTGGAATGCATGATGGTCTCAGCTGTATTTTCCTTTGCTGCATAAACAGCAGCATCAGTTGGTTATGAATTCCTTGCAAAACTGAATATGAAATGGGTCTAGACCCTACTTCATGTTTTCCATCATAAGCTCCAGGAGATTGTTTTTCGAAATGGTAGGAGGCTTTTCCTTGCTTGCTTTATTCTTGTTAAGATACGTAGTTTTCTGATGAGAAACTGCCCAATTCCTGTGCAATGTCCTGTTAGTTAGCATTTACTGCAAACTGTACACCTGAACAACACTTCCTGTCTCGTATTTTTTTGTTTCTGTAACTATGATTATTCGTGCATGTATTGCTACTGATATTACGTAGTTAAACTTAAAAGCGTTAAGAGACAGCTGCTTAATGCCAGGGCTCTTGTTCCCTTTACAATTTTCGGACTTCCCTATTTAACATCTATGGAGCTCATTTTGCTGTTATTTTCTTTGGATGCAGGGTTGTTTCTTTGCCTGAGAACGTGGATTTCATGATCTTCAACCACCGTGGCAGGGCATTCTCTTCTGAAGTCGGCTTGAAACTCAAACACTAGGTGTCATTCTGTGTTGAATAGACGGATCATAATCTGCTGTCACGTCCATCCCCTTAAAACGAGGAAGTGGCATCTCCATTGTTGAAACGTGAAACCCACAAGGCTTGGGAAATAATAGGCTACTGTTTGCGAGCTCACAAATGTGGCTACTATATGGAGTTGTTTGTTCACGATAACATCATTTTGACTATCTCCCACAAGCCACAACTATGTTTACTTTATTAGTGTTTATTTGTTTGTCCTGTTTTGATTACCTCGCCTTAGGAAATGTTCTTGTCTTACTATTTTAAACTATGCAGAAATACGAAATTTATAGTTCTGAGCATCTTTCAAGGCAGTCAACATCACTCCAACTAGTTACATTACAAATTTATTTTGGTGTTTCATTTGTCTGTTGTATTCCATTTTGCGACCCACCCACCTATACTGGACTGGAGGAGCTATGTTAAGTCAGAGCTAGGAGCTGAAACCTCCTTTAAATTTGAAAGACTAAGGGGTCGTTTGGAAGTTGTGATAGTTTTGTTGAGATTGTCATTATGCATGTATTGTTTACAATGCATCGTTTTTTTGTTTTTTTAGCAGAAACAATACATGGATTGTTTCTGTGATGTGACAGAAACTATCACTCATTTTGAGTGATTGTTATATCTCAACTTTTAGTTGTGATTGTTGAGATAGTTGAGTTGAGATTGTTTTGTCTCAGCTTTTAGTTGATGCGACATACACAATCACACATACCAAACGTTGTATTCTACAATGCATCAAATTCGACAATACATGTATAATATTATACATGCATTCTCAACAATACATCTATTTAACAATCGCAACTTCCAAACGACCCCTAAATTGCAAGTTTGGTTACTGGAATTACTTAAAAAATTCACGTTTGTCACTAAAATTAATTTATTTCATCTGTAGTCACTTAAATTAGGTTAACAGTTCAAGTTTGGTCACTGACCATTAATCTCCGCTAACTTTTATTGATGTGGCGGTCAACTCTTTAGTTGACCGTTAAATAAGTGACGTGACAATTAAAAAATAATAAAATAAAATTATTTTTTATTTTCCAGCTAATTATTATAAATTAAAAAATGAAATTCCTAATTCTTTTTAATTATTATTTTCCACCGCCAGCAGCTGGATGTCGAATTGGTCTCCGTCCACCACTCCTCTGTCGCCAGCAGAGCATCTAGGTCGTCCATGGTTCCTGACGAGGAGGAATCCGATGACATTTTCATCGCCAAAAAGACTGCGTCGTGCTGGGCGTCGAGCATGTTGGTGTAGCGAAGCTTGATGTTTGGATCCAGAACCCCTGGGTTCGGCCGAGACAGAGCGTAACCGAGAGTCTCTTCCGAGCAGCTTGGTGTTCTTCCTTCTCGTAGCTTGTCTCTGCAACTTGGTTCCTTTGCCCTATATATACAGGCCAAGGAGTACCACTTCAAGACGGAGAGAGAAGGAAAGGATGCGATGATCGATTCTAAAATTAAAAAATGAAAGAGAACGGGCACAGAGACAGAGCAAACTTCTCCAGCTAGCTACGTTTTGAAGCTGGCTTGACTAAAAAAACCAAAACGAAAGAGGTAAGGAGTAGAAGAGAGAGGGCAAGAACCTCGATATGAGAGAAGAGTCCTTGGAAGCTGCGGCACCAGAGGAACTCATCAACGACATCATTAGCACCGTCGCCGGAAGCCGAAGCACTAGTACCGCCAAAGGCCGATCTGCCGTCGGCTTCGTAGTAGCAGCAGTTCCCCAGTCTTCTCGGCGATAAAATTGCCATCGAATTCCTCCTCATCAGAAACCGTGGACAACCTAAAAGCTATGCTGGCGACGGAGGAGTGGTGGACGAAGACCAATTCGGCATTCGCGAGCGGTGGAAAATAATAATCAAAAGAATTAGGATTTTCATTTTTTAATTTATAATAATTAGCTAGAAAATAAAAAATAATTTTATTTTATTATTTCTTAATTGCCACGTCACTTATTTAACAGTCAACTATAAGAGTTGACCGTCACATCACCAAAAGTAACGGCGACTAACGGCCAGTGACCAAACTTAAACACTTAACCTAATTTAAGTGACTACAAATGGAATAAATTAATTTTAGTGGCAAACGTGAACTTTTTAAGTAATTATAGTGACCAAACTTGCAATTTAGCCAAATTTGAAATATAGGGAAAATTACATATAAAATTCATTATAAATTTAGAAAAAAGAGTAATTGGTAAGGCATTAGCTCCATTATCGAATTATCATGGTTCAAATCACTAGTCAGACCCTCTTATTCAGATTCCTAACTTTGCCATTGCCCACCTCTTGCGCTTGGGAATGTACCTGTAGCACTTGGATTTGGCCTATGAAGACTATTCTTAACTCATCTAACTTAATTTATGTCTCATTCACCGCTCGTCGCCATGATCACCAAGACGACTCCGTTGCAAAGTGAACCAGCTATAGATGGAACACTACCAAATGAGTGGAGTGGGTATCTGTTAGAAACATAAATTATGGCCATTCTCGTCGTTTTTGGATTTAATTGTCGTTTTGTCTTGTTTTTAGATATTTGAGATGTTTATTTTGGAGGGAGGGGGGTTGGGAACATTTAGGTGTTTTCGGTGCAGGGAATTATTATTGGGTAGTTGTAGGAAATTTATCGGTTATATATTCTGTGATTAGTGGGATTTTACTCATTAAGAAATAACATAACAATTATTCTCTAAACCTATTGCTTATTTCTTTCTTCCTCTAGACTCGAAATATCTCTTTCTCTCTACCCACCCTAGCTATCAGCCTTCCCTTATCCTTGGATACAGAGTTCTATCTTCTTCCTCAAGCTTCCCTTCTCACATCCTCAATCTCCCAATTCTATTTCCCAAATCCCAATCGATCGTCCAATCCCTCTTACATGAACCCTAGACGGACACGCCTAGATTCGTGTTTCTTACAGTGGTATAAGAGCTTGCTTGGCGGGGGTTCAAGAAGGATGGCTGATAAAGCGCAGATAGTTGCAGACGTAGTCCACAGAGCATCTGAGATCCACTAGAGAGGAGCTGAAAACCGCCGGTGAGAGGACAACCCTGGAGCTGCGAGAAATTCGAACCGGCCTGATGGAGGCTGTGGGTTGGATGAAGCGAGCGATCTCAAGTGACCGCGCTTGCGGAGACCACCTAAACGTCGGAGCAGCTAGCTCTGGTTGGCGGGGACCCAACGATCGAGGCTAGGGATGGCAATTTCGACCTGACCCGATTTACCCGACCTGTTTGACCTGTTTTGGGGCGGGTCAAACCCGCCCCGTAGGCGGGGCGGGGCGGGCATGGGTACCTCTCATCGACCCGACCTGCCCTGACCCGCCCCATTCTGGACCCGTTCTTGCCTAAATTACATATAATCTTAGTCAAATTACTTAAGATTTTCCTCTTATTACATTATATTTTAGCTATAATAAAGTTGTAAATAAGTGAAAACCTCAATTTCTTCAGTAATTTAACTACATTTTATCATATTATGGTTTATTTCTTGGTCTTTCAATGAAAAGAATGAATATTTCTATTGTTTTTCACATAAATTACATACCCAATGGGTCGACCTGCCCCGACCCGCGCCCCGTGATAAATTACTCGACCTGGACCCGACCTGCCATGGGGCGGGTATGGATATCGAGATACCCGCCCCGGACCTGCCCCATTGCCATTCCTATTCGAGGCCGAGGCGGGGGCGCGATAGCAACGGCTCCGGGGGCGGATCAAGTAACTTCCAACCAGGAACAGGCAGGTATGATGGGTACAACCCCTTGTATGAAGTGTATGATGACCTGGTGTTTAGACCCAAGCATCCTGTTATTGAGTTTCCTAAATTTGATGGTTATGGGGACATGGGCCTTTGGTCGTATGTGGAAGAGAGGTGGTTTAGAAACCATCCTACCAAGGAGGAGAGGAAGACGCATCTGACGTCTTTCTATTTGGAGGGGATGCCTTCCAATGGTGGGAGTAGATGGAGAGGTCCTATGTAGCCGTGAAGATAGTGATCACCTCGCCGATGTTCTAGGAGGAGCTCAATTACCAATCGGGAAGGTAAAAAGTTGGGCGCCAGAGCAGTTAGCAAAGTTGAAGCATATAAGGATAGTGGCGGAGTACCGATCCGAGTTTTTAAAACTAGGGAACCAGTGTAGAGGTGATAATTGTCGAAAACATATTGATTTAATGTGCCTAATGTGATTATTTCATGATGTGTTTGAGACATATAATGCTTGTTTTGAGGCAAATTAACTATGGAATGGTTGTCAGATCATCACCGCCATGTGTTAGTGTTGTGATATATTTTAGGTGAAAAAAGCAAGGAACAAAAAATGCACAAACATATGTCAAATGCAAAACAAATCAAGCTAAGGACCAGCTATACAGCTCATAAGCAAACCAACCGGTTCAGGCCAACTTTGCTAGCCCAATTTCACATATTCAGCGGCAGCAGCTAATGGGCCAGCGCCCATACTCTCTTCCCTCCACCAGTCCATTTAATTATTAGTTGGGGAGAATTATTTGGACCGGATTTTTACAGGGAGGAGTGCTGCCAAAAAGGGAAAAGTGGGCCGGGCCCGAACGCGAGGGGAAGGAGTGGGAGACTTGAATCGGGGGCGTGATTATTCTTGGGGCAATTAATTGCAAGTGGAAAAAGACGGCAGCAGGGGTAATTAATTGGACACAAGGTATTCTTTGGAGGAACGAAATTGCTGGGAGGGGGATTTATTTGCACCAGCTTTCTTGTCCTTTAGCGGAGAGACGGCTGAGAATTATTGTGGGGGAAAAAACGAATTGCTTTGGGAGATAGAGCGGACAACAACTTGTTGGGGACATGATTCTTTTTGGGCGTAGGAAGTTCCGGGAACGAGAGGGAGGACAGCAGCGTCGCGCGATGCTTGAAAAAGAAGCAGAATTCTTTCGAGCAGCGGATCGCGAGACAACGAGCAGGGGAATTAGCGAGTGGACACAGATCGCCATTATTCTAGTAGCGTTTCTCCTTTTCCCTTGATTAGTTTCATGATCAACAAAAACATGATTATACCTTTTGATTTCGTCATGAACTAAACCCCAAATTTTGGGGGAAACACCATAGGATATAGCTATTTCTGGATTTGATGGATTAATTCGTATTTCTTTTCTTCCAATCTCTATTGCATGGAATTACTCATTGCTTTGTGTTGACTATCCACCACTACATTGATTTGTTGTTAATTAGGTTATTAGCGACAGTGGAACCCTAATAACTGAACATATTTCATGTGACATAGCAACTTATCGAAGCGACAGTGGATTAAATAAGGTGTTATGCGTCTTAAATAGGATATCGATCTTCAGGCTAAATAATTAAGTCATTGAGCTACGACAGTAGGATTTGATTTAATTGTTTAGTACGTAGTAATTCCCGACAGGGATAGCTAGCACATTCGTGATATCCTGACTGTACAGAGTTGGATTAAATTGATTGGAATATGTGAATTAATCTGGATAGGATAGGTAGTGAATCCCGGTGTTTCTCACAGAGTTTTCTCCCATTGAATTTCTCTCGACAAGTTTACTTTGCTTAATTAGTTTAATTATTTTGCTATTAGTTAATAGTTTCATAAACCAAACCATTTTCACCCATAGTTTGCTCCATAAAATTGATAGAATATAAGGTTGTACCAGCCCCTGAAAGATGATACCCGGATTTCCGGTTTTACTACAAGATAAGAATTGGCATTACGCTTTTTCCCTATCAAGTTTTTGGCGCCGTTGCCGGGGACTGCCATACCTTATTTTTGTTGATTTTTGTGAGTGAACTATTTTGATCTGTGTTCTAGTGTGCAGGTGAATTTTCAGGTTTATCCTCCTCGTGCATGCCTAGAAGGACGACTGGCGATTTACTGCCACTAGATCTCGAGATCGAGAAGACCTGCCGACAAAAACAAGAAGCAGGTCAAGTTAGTGGAGCAGCCAACCACAACTCCTAGGCCTTCCCTAACCCAGAATCGTCAACCGAGAAGGCAGGTTTCACCACTTGTCATCCCTACACCACCGACACCGCCACTGTGCATCATCGAGCCTGTCATCATGGCAGAAGAGGATCGTTCGATCAGGGCTCGTTTGAATCGGAGGACTGGAGCCCGAGCGTCATGTGTTGTCATTCCGGCTGGGGATGCAAACATGGAGATTACCCGAGCATTTATCAATATGATCACCAATGTGTATACTTTCTCCGGGGCTAGCACTGAGGATCCTTACGAACATCTTCGTCGATTCGTGAGCATATGTGATACGATGAAGAGCCCAACTGTGTCTAATGATGCAATCCGTCTTCGGATGTTCTTATTTTCTCCGCTAGGGAATGCATCACACTTGTTCCAGAACTTAGCACTCCGTTCCATAACGACATGGGCTCAGCTTGAGAAGACCTTTTTGGATAAGTATTTTCCTCCAGCCAAGGCAATGAAGAGGCAAGAGGAAATTGTTACGTTTAAACAAGCTGAAGATGAGAGTCTGACCGAGGCATGGGAACGCTATAAGGGATTGTTGATGAGATGCCCAAGCCATGGTCTTGAAGATTAGAACGTGATCATTATTTTCTTCAATGGAATCAGAAGGGAGATCCGTGATGCCCTGAATAATGCTTCTCGAAATGGTATCACAAGTATGGAGGCACCAACAGCATATGATTTGGTAGAGAAGATTTGTTCAGAAGCCACTGAATGGGGTAGTGAGACTAGTATTCGAAGAAGAGGAGGCTTGCATGAGATAGACAGAATTGCGAGTTTAGAAGCAAAGCTGGATTCCAAGTTCGATACACTCGAACGAAGGTTGGCCAAGATTGC